GTTTTTTGCCCATAACTTTAAAAAAATGTTAGGACACCTATAAATGTTTTTCCATAATTTTGTAGAGTTTTTTTAGACGCATCTATTAAGCCCTAATTGAACATTTTTCGTCCATATTAACCGGAGTTATTAAACTTTTAAAAATACAAAATTTTAGAAAATAAGACTTTTTTGAAAATTTTGTTGAAAAACGTAAAAGTAACTTTAAAATTCTCGTTATCAACTTGTAGAGCATTAAAAAACGCTTCGATTGACCTATTTTTGAACCTACTTCGATAATAAATTTCGAAATTATTGGTATTTTAAAAACCAAAAATTGTGAAAAATGACATTTTCTCAACTTTTTTGTTTGAAAATTTTTGTTTAACTATTAAATTATTGTAACTATCTAGTAGGGTATTTAAAAATACATTGATTGACTCAAAATTTAATCACTTTTACTATATTTATAAAAAGTTATTCATATATTTCTATTATTTTTATCTCCATGAGGAAGTAAAGTGTTCATGAAATGAGCACCAAAATTATAAAAAAAAAATACACAACTTGGCAGCGGTTTTTTTTTTATTTGTTATATTTTTTTTATTTATTATGTTTATCTTATTCTCGTCTTTTACAAATTTGAGCTTAAATGCAAATAAATAAAAATCTTCACTATTTTTATTCATTGTAAAAAATAAATTTATTCAATTTCAATAAAGAGGGAAATTTTATTGAAAAATTTTCAATAAAATTTCCCTCTTTTTTTCAAAATTATATTAAACACTAGCCAAATCATACGCGCGCAAGCGCGCGTGAATGTTGTATTACAATGTTATAAAAAAAAATTAACAAATTTTGATATACTAATTTCTTGTACTAAAATAATTTTTCGAAAGAAAAATTATTAAAGATTATTAAAGATAAATATTTTAAAGAATTCTAATAAATCGTTTGCAATAATTCTATTATTTTCATAAATAATAAACTGTTTTTTAGGAATTTAATTATTTTCAAAAAAATTTAATAAAATTTCCCACAGATATTCAATTATTATTGACAAATTTTTAAATAGAATTCTTTGTAAAATTTAACCATATCTTTAAAAACTTTTCGCAATTCAATGATTTTCAATATATACTATTTTCATAAAATTTCCAAACAGAATTCAATTATTTAAAAAATTCTTTTCATGAATAATAAAAATTTTCATTAATTTAATTATTTAAATTAGAATTTGTATAAAATTATTCGAAAGAAAGGAATTATTAAAAAATTTTTATAAAATTCTTCGCAAGAATTAAATTATTTTGAATTCTTTCATGAATAATAAAATTCGTAGCAGAAATTCAATTTATTAGCAGGATAAGAAGAAAGTAAATATTTTTTATGAAAATTGGAAAAAAATCAGGAAAATAGAAAATATGGAATGGAAATTTTGTCAATTTTGTGTAGTGAATAATACGAGTTTTGTTTCTTTTTTTTTAAACTTAAAAAAAATGAAAATAACCCACAAAAATTAATATTCAAAACAAATAAATGAATGCAGATAATTTGCTAACGGAAAGGAAACTTACGATTATTATAATGTATTATATATTATATTTTTCCTTTTTTTTTTGTCTTTTAATGTGCAAAATTAATTAGAGGAGAATATCGATATTCCTGAGTATATTGTATGTTGCGTACTGGTTAATTATTTAAGCCATGATTAACGACCGATTGGAATAATTTGTTCTGCATAGAGTGAGAGAGAGAGAGAGAGATGCTTTAACATTGTTAATATTGCATCGAGCGTGTTTGTATTGCTTTGTAATTAAATTATCTAATCATCTAGTTTTCAAAAAATTATTTATTCAAAAGTATTTTATTTTTTTTTTGTTTTTTTTCTGAAAAAGAATGAGGGAAGGAAAAAAAGTGGAATTCTTATGTTCCGACACAAAAGAATGAAGATACTTTATTTTTTCTTAGAGTAAACATTTCTTTGTTTTCAAAAAAAATATTTTCAGAGTAAACTTTATGAAACTTATATAATTTTATATAGTATTATCTTTTTTTTTTCTCTTCGTTCTTTCACTGGTATTTTTTTATTATATTCTCTGATAATATTAATTTCAATAATAATAATATAATAATATAATAATAATAATAATAATAATAATAATAATAATAATAATAATAATAATAATTTATTATTATTATTATTTTATATTTAATATTTTTAATATTTGTACAGTCAAAGCAAAAAATACTTTTTCAACAAATTATTAAAAATTGTACCCGAAAAAAACATTCCATTGCTGAATGATTTTTTTTTTATTCACCTTTTTTTCGAAGCACACTGCGAGGTTAAAATATTGACGTTTACAAAAAAAAAAAAAAGGAAATAAAAAGGATGGAAAAAAAAATTTGTGAAAATTAATTTCTCCTTGAGCATACAAATTTCCACGGTTGCTTTATATAAATCTAGTTTTCCAAGGAGAACTTGGAGGCAAGAACAGTGTGTCACTTATAGACCGATTCCTTTCTTTTCGCGGATTTTCTCTGTTTGCTTTGCCGTGTATATATGTATGTACACACATATGTCAGTTTATATATGACTGTGTACACATAAAATGTTCACAAATGTGTGTATCCATGTAAAAGTATTTGTGTGTGTGTGTGTGAGTGTGGTATATCTTATATACAGTGCCCAGGAAATATTCTCCCGAGATATATCCCCCCTTCCCCCTCCTCCACCTTCTCACCCAGCTTCCCTCATGCTTCATTCTACCCAGGTATTTTTGTCCTTTCTTTTTTATCTCCTCTCTCACTCTTTTTTCTCTCTCCCTCATCAATTTGATACGGAAAACGTTGGTTTTTAAACATTATATCTATATCTATATATATGTTTATATAGGAAATTTATTTTTTTCCCCATCATTAATTTTTCTGTCATTTATTATTTATTATTATTATTATTGATTCTTTTGAAATAGATTTAGAAAATTTATCAGATCTAATTTTTCACTCTTTTTTCAAGTTTTGGAATTTGAGTTTTTTCATCTTTTATTTATTGAAATGTTTTTTTTTTATTTATTTATTTTATTTATTTATTTATTATTATGTTTAATATTTTATTTCTAATATTTGTACAGTCAAAAAAAAAGAAAAAAAATGAAATACCTAAATTATTTTTTCTATTTACTGTGCTTTAAATTTTTTTTCTATTCACTACATTTCTGTAATTTAATTTTTTTTCTTCTACTATTTATTGCAGTTTTTAAATTAAATATTTTTTTATTTGCAATATTTTTGAAATTTCTTTTTTTTTATTCACTGTACCTACTAAATGCAATTTAATTCTTTTCTACTATTTATATTTAGAAATTAAAATATTTTTTCTATTCACTGTACTTCTGGAATTTAATATTTTTTCTTCAATTATTTATTGTAGTTTGTAACTTAATATCCCGTTTACTGTTTTTTTTTTATTTACTGTACCTACTAAGTGAAATTAAATTTTTTTCTACTGTTCATTGAAGTTTAGAAAATAAATTATTTTTTCTATTTACTGTACTTTAAACATTTTATTTTTTTCTATTTACTGCACTTTTGAAATTAATTTATTTCTTCAACCATTTCTTATAGTTTCATTTGCTGTACTTTAAAATTTTTTTCTATCCACTGCACTTCTGGAATTTAATTTTTTTTCTTTAATTATTTATTGTAGTTTGTAACTTAATTTTTTCCCGTTTACTGTACTTTGAATTGTTTTTTCTTATTTAACTTTTTCTTCTTCTTTTATTTATTTAAGTTTCTAATTTAATTTTCTCCATTTACTGTACTTTGAATTGTTTTTTCTAATTTAACTTTTTTTTTCTTTTTCTGTTAATTATGTTTTTAATTTGATTTTTTTTTCAGTTACTGCACTTTTGAAATTTAATTTTTTTTTCTATTTTTAATTGAACTTTGCAAATTAAATTTCTCTCCCTTCTATTTATATTGTATTTTGCAAAAATAAATTCTTTTTTTCTCCACGTATTTATTGCATTTCTCGAAATTAAAAACGAAAAAAAAAATATTTTTAAATACGTAGATATTTAAATTTTTGTTCGTTTTTTTTCTCCTTTTTTTAATTCTGAAGAATTACTTTGACCTTATTGTGCAATACATGCAACATTCTTTCACACAATTGTATTTATAAACGCGACAAGTCTCATTTATTTTGAATAGATTTGCGCTGAAAATGAAAATATAATTTCAAACATTTCATTTTATGATAAAAATAGTAATTTTTAAGAGAGAAAAATTGCAATTTTTTTGAGCTTTTTTTCTTTTTTTTGCAAAAGAGAAAAAAAGATAATTATCATAATTATCGTGCAGTTCGCAAATTAATTAAATAGCAGCAAAGTTTATTAATTTTACTAAATACGATCTAAAGGAGTAATTCATTAATTAATTTCAAAGAAAATGTTTATATAATTAAAAAAGTTTTATTTATTTATTCAATATTATTACACTATTTATTATTATTATTATTTAAATAATTATTATTATTCATAATAAATAAATATTATTATTACTTTTGAAATTAAAATAACAATTTAAAAATGAGAGATTATTTCTGCTGGAGATTGAAACTTTATTATTATCATTACTTATTTTATTATTATTTATTAATTTTATTAATATTTATTAATAAATTTAGGATTATTGTGTAATTATTAATTATTATCGATAATTAAAATATAAGTATATTATAAATTATATATAATATATTATTCACTGAAAAAAATCTCTATCTGGAATCTCTGGGCGTTGGGGATCGAACCACTGACCCTAAAGTCCCACTCACCAAATCACGTGCCTTAACGACTACGGCCATCGCCTATTATTAATTATTTTTCTACTTATTAGTACTTATTTGAATTTTAATTAAAATAAAAAAAAATATATTAAATAAGGCAAATAAAACACAAAAAAAAAAATTTATCTCATCAATAATGTATTAAAATAGGAAAAATATTGTAATTTTTCAGCTATTGGGAGGTGCTTGCTTTAGCCATGGTCCATACACGTTTTATAAAGCAGTGCGGATAGAAAATGGTCGTGTTCTTCGACTAGGAAGTTTTTTCTTGACAAAACTTTGGAGCGACGCCGATCTCGTCAGCATCGGTGAACTTCAATTACTTTGGCTTGACAGCCGGGGGCCAAACACACCCCTCGCCTCATTGCGGCTCTACTTCCTGCCGGAAAACACCCCTGACGGACGAAGGGACACGCACGGAGAGGTAAGAAAACAAAAAAAAAAAAAAACACAATGCAAATAAACTTACCACTTTTTATTGACCCACTTTTGTCCCGCTTTCTTATTATTATTATTTTATTTTGCCCTCATTAAAAATCAAAACTTTCATTTTTTTTCACAATCATTTTTCGATTTTTTGCTCCTTTTTATTTTTCATTCAGATTCACTTTAAATTTCAGAGTATTTTTTATACAATTATTTTTATTTTTTATAATAATAATAATAATAATAATAAATGCTCTGAAATTTAAAGTCAATCTGAATAAAAATAAATAAATAAAATATCGAAAAACGATTGTGAAACAAAATGGAGAAGATAATAATTATTATCACAATATAATATTATTACTATTTTTTATTTAATTAATATTTATAAAAAAATTTATATTAATATTAATATTATTGAAAATAATATTAAATTATATTAATTATTATCATTTTTATAATTTTATACAATAATAATAATTTTTTATTTTTTATTATTTTGCTCTTGTAAAAGATTTTTATGCGAAAGCTTCTTTTTTCTCATAAAAGAATTCCAATTTATTCTCCGGTAGTTTTTTCTTTTTATATTACTATTTTTATATTTTTTCAAAAGCAAATCGAAGATTAATGGAAATGAATTTCATTTGATTTTGAATGAACGAAATATTTTTGTAAATGTATTTTAATTTAATTAAATTTATAAATTGATGTTAAAATTCAACATAGGTACGTCAATAATAGAAATAATTATATTTTGATAAATTTGCAATATATGATTAAATTTTCAACGATTTAATTACGAAATTAAACATGAAAATGTTAACGAATTTATATTTGTAAGTTAATTAAAATACACTCGTATTTTTGAAGGAGAAAATTAATTATTCGCCTTTATATTTATTCGTGAAAATTAATATTTCGAGGGAAAAAATTAAAAAACAGAAAATAAAGGCAAAAATTCGATATTTTTTTTTTATAATTATATGCCTGTAATATTTCATGTGAAAAAATAAATGCAAATTCTGTATTTTTTGGTTAGAAAAAAATTAAGTCAAGTATATAACAAAAATACTGATTCTAATTTATTTATTTCATTTCTTTTTTTAATTACAAAGCCCAACAGCATTTTTGACAATTTTTTTCATTTAATTTCATTTACTTCACATAATTTTTTCCTTTAATTTTCAAACTACAACTGCATTAATGAAGAAAAAAGAAAAAAAATTTCATTTAATTCTTGACTCGAAATGAGAGAAAAAAAAGAGAAGAGAGAAACATTTTTATTCAAAATGCTTCTAACAATTTTTCTACTTAAAAATAAATTCTACTTTTCCATTTCGCTTCACGAGCGAGAAGGGACTTTTTTATTTTTTTTACGATCAAAGGCTTCAAACTCGACATAGACGCGCGCGCACGCTCTCGCTCTTTCGCAAAAAAGGAAGGAAAAAATAAATATAAATATACTTTATCACTATATCGTAAAATATGATTTGTCAATAAAATCTCCCTTTAGCAATAGTTAATAATTTGTGAATAGATATTTTTTTTTTTTTTGCAATCAGATTAAAAAATGAGAATGAATTTTTGTTTTTTAAAACGAAAATAAAGAAATACCGATTTATTTTATTTTTTACTTTTGTATTATTTTTTTTTTAACAATTGTCTTTTAAATAAAAATTGAGTAACACTTCTCAAAAAAAAATTACGTTGGTGAAGTTCACAACGTTTATAATAATCAACGATTTAGAAAAAAAAATATTTGTCTATTTAATGTTTTATATAATTTTGTATAAAAAAAAGTTTTGTTTACAAATTTTTCTTTTTGAAATTATTGAACATGATCAATAATTTCAAAAAAAAAAAAAAAAAAAAATTTATAAACAAAACATTTTTTTTTATGTCAAGAAAAATATATTTTTTTTCTTTAATCGTTGTGAACTTCACCGACGTAAAAAATTTATCCACATAAAAATTAGAGAAAAATTTAACTTAAAAAAAAATTTGTTTATAATTTTTCGTTTTTACAAATGTTACTCATTTTGAAAAGGGAAAAAAAAGAGGAGGGCTGATTTTAATTTGTCTTCACAGATGATTTTCAATATGTCTCTAGTTCCGTCAAACTCGAAAAAAAAATATGTCCCATGTTGATCGCCAGTTGAATTTCTCTGAAGAGAAAATTTATTCAGAATAGGTATTATTCAGACTGACGAGTGGAATAGTCGGTGGATGAAGACAGACTCTGACGAGAGAGAGGTAAAGGGGGTTTTGAAAGAAAAAGGGATTGTGAGTTTGAGGGGTCGTGAATGAGAAAAAGAAGCGGAATAAGCTTGCAGTCCCTCTCTCTATATAATATATATATACAAAATAATATTCACTGTGCTAAACATTTCCAAATTTAAAAAAACGTATGAAAAAACCCAATTGAGAGAAACACTATTTCAAACAAATGTTTCAATACATACGCGAATAAAAAAATATTTCATTTTTTTTTTATTTTATAATTTTTTTTCTCCTCGTGAAATTTATTTTCTCTCTGTATTTATACAGTGGATGTAAAAACAAATATATAGTTATATAAACTATATTTGCAAAGAGAATATAGAAAATGTTCTTTCCAAGAAAAATTATATATTTTTTCCTGAATTTCTTAAATATTCTCATAGTTTTTTATATTTTCTTTTTTTCCCTTTCAAGTATTTTTATTATTAATTTTCTCTTGAAAGAGGGAAAACTTTCAATTATTCGGAAATTGTTAAAAACTCATTTTTATTCAATGAAACTTTTTATAGTACACATTCAGTCTGTTTCCTTGAAAAATACCGATTTTTCCGCAAATTACAATTCTTCGTTTTTTGTTCGCTCAGCTCTCTTGTTTTATTTTATTAATTTTTCATATTTCAACGTTTTTTTTTTGTATTTTTTTTTTTTCATTGAATACAAAATGTGTAATTATTTTTTGCTTTGCAATTTATTTTTTTTTCCTATATTAATATTTATCTTTTTATTTATGGTTTAAACAATGAAATAAATTAATATTTATTTAATAAAATAAAATAAAATTCTCTCTGAATAAAGAGAGTTAACTGCATAATTTATTATTATTTTTTATTTATCAGTTAATTCTCTAAATTAGAATTTAGCAATTAATGAAAAAATAAATAAAAAATTCAATTAGTGACTGATTTTCTGCCTTTGAATTAATTAATAATTAACTGCAAATTTGACTAAATTAGCGACATTTTAAGTTAAATTAGTAAAAATGTTTACTAATTTAGTAGAAATTACTATTTATTAGTAAAATTAACTAATTCAAAGGCAAAAATTCAGTCATTAATTGAAATTAATAAACATTTTTTACTAATTAAATATTAATTAACTAATTAACTATTTATCAGGAGATAATTACTAATTATTAGTAAATAATTAATTTTTATTATTAATTTTATTTACATGGGTGAATTCACAACGTTCATGATTCACAACGATTAGAGGAAAAAATTATTTTTTTCGCTGAGAACAATATTTTTTGTTTGCAAATTTTTTAATTATTCATAAAATATTCTTAGAAAAACACGTTTTTAGCTAAAAATTGGAAAAATACTTTTTTTTAAACTGTTGATTATAAATGTTGTGTGCTTGACTAACGCAAATATTTTCATAAAATACTGATTGCAGTAGAAATTAAAAAATTAAATTTTACATTTAGAAAATTTATTAATTTAACAATTTTTTGTAAAGTTATTAATTTTTTTGATAGTGACGTAAAATTATTGTAATAAAAATTTGTTTCGAAGAGGAAATTCCACATAAAAAAATTAATTCTCACTCAGAAAATTTATTTCTAACCAAATGTAGAATTTATAAATTCTACGTTAATTTTCAACTAAATAATAGTAATTTAAAAAAAAATAGTTAAGTAAAGAAACTTTTAGTTAGTATAATAAAATTTTTATTTAAATTAAATTAAAATTTTTAAGTTAATAAAATTTTTTTTTGGTGAGATTTAAAAAAAGTGCGAATTTTTTGGTTTCTATCTTGTAAGAGTCGAATTTTTCTTTCACGACACGGACACTTTAATATTCATATATATATATATATATATATATATATGTATATTTAATGTAGAAGTATAAAAACTCACTCACACATATGGCACATTTGTTTTAACGAGGGACATTGTCAATTATGGCTCCCCGCGTCTCCCACAAGTCGTACTCTCAGTTTACAGCTCGATTATTCAGCAGGGCAAACGACGGGTCACATAATAACGTGTCACGGGCAATATGATTTCGATTGAAGGGTTAACGACATTTCATTTTCAAATTCAGAATTATTATACTTTTCGAAAAAAAATAATAATTTTTATTTAAATTAAAAAGTTATTTATTTAGTTTCGCTTAAAAATTTTATTTGAGTATTATTCTACTTTTAATACAGATATTTTCTTCAAATATATAAATAATCAATAAAATATATAAATAATATAAATAAATCGTGAAGAATTTTATAAAAAATTTTTGAAAATTCTAATTAAATTCTTTTGAAGAATTTCCTTTAATTTTTTTTTAATGGAGTTTTTTTTAATAATTTAAATTAAAATTTTTGAAAATAATTGAATTTTATGAATAATTCTTTTCAAGTTTTTAAAATAATCGTAGTTGTTAATAATTTAAATTAAACATTAAATTTTTGAATTTTATCAAAATTTTAGATAATAATTGAATTCTTTTGAAAATTATTTTAGGGAATTAAGAAAAAAATTTAATTCTTTCGTGACATTTTTTTTTTTTTTAAATAATTGAATTTTTCCAAAGAACTTTATTATTTATAAATATAATTGAATTGTATTAAAAAAGGCCTAATACGGTTTTAACAAGAAGCAAATAAAAAATGTATATTATTGATTTGTTTGTATATTTATCTATTTATTTCTAATTTAAAAAAAAAAAAAAATGCTGTCGAAAAACTATTATTAACGGATGGAAAAAGTAATTGAGA